ATTCTCTCTCAAATAAATAAATAAAATCTTTAAAAATAAATAAATAAATAAATAAAATGAGTGAGGAGATAGATGCCAATTTTTCTCTTTTCCGAGTCAGTTTGATTATTGCAGTATTAATTATCCTTGAATTTTTGTTAGTTTACTTGTAAAATACTCTGTGCCTGTGGCCCTTGAGACAGGATGGGGGGGAGGTCAAAATTTTTAAGTATTGGTTTATTCAGATTTTTATCTTTTCTTGATGTTAGTACTTTTTAATCTGTCAAAATGTCCATTTCAGATTTCTTAGCTTATACTTGTTCCTAAATATTTTCTGTTAGTTTCATAATCTCTACCTCATCTCTAACTATGATCCTTTTTCCATTCCTAAAATTATATATCAGTGGCTTCTTTATTCCTTGATCAGTCCTGCAAAATTTGTGATTTTTATTAGCTATTTTTCAAGGAACCAGTTGGTTTTATTGACAATTTCTATTGCTTTTTGGTTGTATTTTTTTCAGTCATTTTTGATTTTACCTTTAAAAAAGGCTCTTTCTCCTACTTCCTTTGGATTTATTGTTATATAATTCACACTACCCAACTCCTTATTTATTTTTAACCTAGGTGATGCATCAGAGACTCACAGAGGTATATTGAAATCTTCCACCATGACTGCAACTTTATTAAAAAAATTTTTTTACATTTCTAGCAGTTTTTATTTAATTTATTCATGCTATGTTATTTGGCACATAAAATTTGACTGTAGATTGATTGTACATTTTATTAACATAAAAGAATCCTCTTTTTAATTTCCTTATGAGGTGTGAGAGAAGTTCTCAAAGTCATCTCATAATAAACTGGTTTCATTTTTCTGTGCTTTACCCTCTTCCGTTCATTGCCTCCATCACATTTTTTAATTGGGTGATCATGTTTCTCATCTTTATTTAATCTTTCCTCATCTCAGATTGCTCTGTTTTCATTAATGCCTATTTTTGTGTCATAAATATAAGATTCTCCCAAATCCTGTTAAGAATACAAAGTAGGAGTTGCTTTTAAAGTTTTTCTTCTTTGTTGCTTACAGAGGGGAAATGAGCTCTGACTCTTCAGACAGGTCCGCTTCTTCTGATCTACGGACTATTTACACACGTTCAGTTAATTTTCTTGTTAGCACACCACTACAGAGGGAGCATAAAAGGGGAATGGAAATGCCCAGTGGTCTCTGGAGGGGAGTGGAGGAATTACACAAGAATAGGCCATCGCAGGAGCTTTCCCGGCTCCTGGTGCTGAAGTGTGTGAGTGTGGTGCCTCTTTTCTAATGTGCCTGACCACTCTTGTTTGGCACCAATCATAGCGTTGCCCTACTTCATCTGGCTTGCCAACAAAAGCCACATGAAGCCCAGAATGTCCCGCCGAGAGGGAATGGTGGCTCTGTGTGTTCTCTCAGACCTAGTACGCTTCCAGAGGAACCAGTGATGTGGACATCTGGTCCCTGCCAACGGGGCCATGGCGTGTCCTCCCTCCAGGCTCTGCTGCTCTGAGCTAGGTGGCCGGAGATGCGTTTTTCCTTCCGGTTTCTAACACTTCATCCACAGTCAGGATTTCACTTCGCTTATGTGAATCCATAGTTTGATTGGGCCATTTCTCAATCTGAACTCTTTTCTGGATATTCCATTTGGCAAAAATTCCTTTAAGTGATATGTGAATGGTACCCTTGCCTAATTTCCAGTGCTGAGGCCACAGTCCTTTGCTTATACATCCTTTTAGTCATTTCAGTGGGAACCGGCAGAGGACGAAGTTATATATATATCCATGTGCTTCATTTGGCATCTTGAGCTGGAAGTCGTCTTTCCATTCTATTGCAATTTAAAGTCCCTTCCTGTCTTGCTGATGTCAGGTCAAAATTTTGGTGGGGGCCAAAATAAAAGGAATCAGTTCTGGGAGAGAAGCTGAAGTGTGAGCAGGGATGCAGTTTAAGGAATTTTCAGTTATTAAAGGTAAGAAACAGATCAGGGGTCATAAACACAAGCAAAGAGTCATTTCATGGGTCAGAAATACAAGACTATAAAGTTTGGAGGGTTGGTCAGATGCATAGAATATTGTATCTTGGGCAATAAATAAAGTGTGGAGGAGGTGACAGGTCTCCTTGGTCAGGAGCTCAGGTGTGCACTGGGGTTTCTTTGGAGGGACAAGAGAGTCCTGAGGATTAGGAATCCACCAGTGTTCTGGCAGGTGGGTGAATTCCAGAGGGGCGAGGGCGAGATATTCTTGGAGCTGACTACTGTTCTGGGCAGTTCCTGCACATGTTCCTGTCAAGGTAGACCAGAGTGACACGCTGGCCCAGCAGTGCCCGGCAGCTGACGTGGCTGCAAGGCTGTTCTGAATCCTATTTGGGAAACCATAACCGTGGGTTTCTCTTAGTTCTGAAACAGTTCTGTACCTGTTCATGTCCCAGGTTCTCCACCCTGAGGAGAAGACTTAGAACAGGAAGGGGTTCCAGGAAACCACCCTATCTCCCTGGGTGCCTTGCCCTCCCTTCCCCAGACCCTGTTCTATAGAAGTTCTGGGGGTCCTGGGGTCCCGTGAGTGGCCTTTCAGCCAGGTCAGAGATACAGCCTTCTGAGGAGGACACTACAGAGGCCTGGACACAGGAGGAAGAGGGTCTTCTTCGACAAGAAGACTGAGCCCAATATTAGAAGGCTGGGTGGTAGGGCCAGCTGGGCAGGGAAGTCTGGGAACATCCCCCTAAGATACAGGAATTCATTCCCATCTCTCCACAACCCTGCAGGACTACCTAGGGTCCTATCTCCTACACAAGTCCTCCCTGAACTCTGACCTGGGTTTTACAGCCCATGTCTCTCCCTTCTTACCCTGAATGCCTCAGAAAGTCTCTCTTCTGTCTTTTGAGCTGCTTACCTAATCCTGAGATAGCACCTGGACAGGACAGTTGGGTATGCGCACCTGTTGACTATGTGTTAGGTGCTTCTCTGAATCTAGACCACTACGGGGAAGAGGCTCAGGCACCAGTCATTACTCCGTGTGACCTCTGGCAGCCAAGGAACCCTCTGGTCCTATCAGGCCAGACATAGAATTGCTGCTATATACTCCCTTCAAAACCTGAAACTTATAAGTTACGTCTCCAAAACTCCTTTTTCTGCAGGGTTGATGACAGCCTTCATGCAAGAAGGGCTCTGCATTCCATCAATTTCATCTGCAGCACTGGAGAGAGGAAGTCACTCTGGCCTTGTTGGGCCCAGTTGTATCCTCTGAGGCTCTGGTGTGGACGATGAACACATGGGTGGAGAGAGGCGAGGTCCAGGGGCTGCCTGAAGACATGGCCCTTGGAAATTATATAATCTTGTCTACTGCTCGCTTAAAAGGAGATTTTCTGTCTGGGGAGCTCAGAGGTTGCAAAGTAGAGCTTAAGAAGACAGTAATTAGGCCCTAATCCCCACTCGGCCACTTCGCATATTCTCTTCTATTTCAGGTATATCCAGTCCCAACCAGTCATCTCATGGGCTTAAGGATAACCAGGTAAGAGTGAGAAACACCTTCCAAATGTGTGCGCGTGCACACACACCCCAGAGAACACATGCGCCGGAGAGTGAGCATAAAATGCACAGTACACTCATCATATCTAGAGAGAATCCTAAGGGATAGGGATTATTTAATTCTTTCTCTTTGGGTTTTTCAGAGTAGTGACCTCCGATTGTTTCTAATGTCAAGACTTCTCAGGCTGCAGGGAATAAAACTGTATTAGGATAAGCTAAAAAAGTTTCTTGGCATAGGATGAAAATGGACACACTCTGTGAGATTTTCCTTATAATCCATTTTAATAAGGCAGCTCTTGGATAAATTCTCCAGAGTCCATTCTTTGATCATACACACACTCACACACTATATATTACTGGAGATACACATGAATCACCTACATACAAAGGCATGCAAATCACATGTGTGCTCAGTGTCATAACAATCCCCTTTCTATAATCAAGTCCCAACACCTCTTTGCCTGACATGTAACTTGAATCCACTTTCTTTAACCCCACTGTCACACATGGGCCATCACCATGGCACAATGAGCTACTAGTCTACCAAAACTTATACTCAAAACATCCCCAGGTGTGCACACACATAAGATACACTGAGACACGTATGCACACACACAGGTCCCTTAAAAGAAGCCAGTACCTAGACTCAGATTCACACACATGTGGAAATGTAATAAAAGGATCTACGTCCATAAACACGTGTCTACACAAATGCACATGCATATTCTACCAGCTCTTCACTATCCAGCTTGATGGTCACAGTTCACGGCGAAAAACCTGATCCACTGGCCCCTCCAGCTGAATTTATGATGATTTATCACGTAGTCAGTCTGTTCTCTACCACACATGTATTTGAGAATAGTCAGCTCTGAAGCAAACTCGAAAGCCACATTCTTAGATCTTCACAGACCCTTCTCTTTCGGGTTCCTACCTTCTCCCAGATGAGTGAGGACAATACCCTGGAACTCAGGAGGGAAGATGAACGTTTGGGTCATTCCCACAGAAGTAAATGAGTAGGTGCTGAGCGCACTGTTGCCTACTGTCACTTACATCCTCTATGAGATCTATTGGTTTTACCTTGAGGACATCCCCTTCTGACAGTTCAAACGTCCTGGCTTTAAGCTGAATGCCTTTCCCCGGCTGGGTCTGGATGGAGTAGATGCATTCGTGGTTGTTATTGTAGTTCACAGGAAAGTTGGGGGACAGCAATGTGCCCTGAGTGCCCGTGACTGAATTCCCACACTCAGCTGGAAAGAGAATCACAATAATCACCGATTAACCCCCATCAGCTACATCTAGAAAACAACTCACAGCGCTGGAGGACCTTACAAGGATGATACATTGTTTGCCTTTCCACTTGCCCAAATGCCTGGTTATCTGTCCATTCGTCTGCCTGTCTGTGGGACTGCTTATCAAAGTTTTCTAACATATCTGCCCACCTGTAGTTTTGCTCCGTTTCTTTATCTCTCTTGTTCTGTGTGTCTGTCTCTCTTCTGCAGGAATAGAAATGAACCCACCAGGCATCCTGTACTTTCTTAGTGGCCTGAGGCAGCCCTTCCCCACACCTGTTCATCTAGTATCATAGCAACAGAATGACTGAGGAGGATGTCAGGGGCGGATGGAGGTGGTGAAGTGAGGAGAGACGAATCCTTTCAGTATCAGAGGCTAGAAACCCAGAGGGGTCAATGTTGAATAATTATTGCTAGCATCTTCCAAACTTCAGTCATTAGTCACAACAACCAAACCCATAAGGTAGGCATAATTATCATCCCTATTTTAAAAATAAAGAATCTGGTACTTAGCAGTTCAGATCAAGTCTCTCCATTTACCAAGATGAGGGGGCTGAGAATTCAACCCTCCTGGTCTTGGAATTTAAGGCCACTAAGGCTTTGGAGAAAGTTTTAGCATAGACCCACTGAAACCCTGTTTCATTCAACAGCTAATGAATTCACAGCCTCCTCTCGACATCTTTTTCTCCTCCTCCAGAATTAGTCCTTCTTTCCCCATTGTTCCCGTACTTTTATTTATAGCAGTCATCACATTGTATTTCACCCATTTGTTAACATTTCTGTCTCTTCCACTGTCGATCCTTTAGGGCTGGGTCCTAGTTCTCTCTCCCCAGCCCCCACCCAGTGCCTGGGCAGAGCGGGCATGAGTAGGTGAAAGGGGCGGGAGCTCAGTGGCAGGGCATGGATGCAGAGCCCCACAGCTGTCTCTCTAGGGTCTTTAATAGTTGTAAAGCCCCTCCCTGTGCTTCCCTGTATCAGAGCGTCTGTCCCCTTGCACCCTGACTGCTTGTTACTTGCCTGTAGCCCCCACAAAATGGGAGTTACTTGGGGGCTAGGGTCATGCTTAATGAATCTAAACTTCCAAGGCTTAGCCCAGATTGTCTGTAAAATAAATATTTGCAAAATGAGTGAATGGATGAATATGGAGGACACAGACCTCAGAAGATGTACAGTCCTAAAAATAATTAGGTTCCAGAAGGATGAAAATACAAGTCCAGATGGCAGGCACATTACTTGTCTGGACATATGGGGAATTGGGAGCACATCTTGAATCTTTGAGGTTGATGGTAGCAAGTCTGCTTTCTTCAAACCATCCCTCGGTGTCCCTATTCTAGGCACAGTCATTGGTGGAAGGTTGTCCCTGAGGTCAACCAATGGGCCACGCAGTTAACCCTAATTGTCCTAAGCCTGAAGTGTGCTAGGCCAAGGCAATGTAGATGGAGCTTGTGATTTAGGGACATTCAGAGTTGAAACTCTCGTGGTCTTAGTTATACCCTTGTGTGTTTTCTTGTCCCCAAGGCTGCTCCTTAGACCTTTGAAGACAGTGTCCGTGTCCCACAGGTCCTTACTCTTTCAATGGGCCCTACTCCCTGGGCTCTGGCCAGTTCAGGACAGGTTCACTTTCCTAGGAGTTTACATAAGCCATTCCTATGCACTGAATGTTCGTGGCCTCATGCCAAATCCATATGTTGAAGCCCTAATCTTCAGTGTGATGGTATCCTCAGGAGGGCCCTTGGCAAGTGATTGGGGTTAGCGACCACACAAGCTGAGGAAATGACCAGAGCCCTCTCTCTGCCTTGTTAGGATGGCAAAAAGGCTGCCGTCTGCAGGCTAGGAGAGGAATTTCACTAGACACTGAATCTGTGGGCACCTTGATCTTGGACTGTTTGGGCTCCAGAACCATGAGAAATAAATATCTGGTGTTTAAGCCACCCATAGTATTTTCCTACAGCGGCCTGATCATTTGTCTTAGAGCCTTTCTGCAAAGTGTCCAAATGTGCATAATGAATATGCTGAGCTGGGGTATACGACTAAAGTGATAGTTGTGGACAGGCACCCTGTGGACATTTTCTGGGGGCCCGGAGACAAGGGCGGGGATTTGGGGAGGGGGTGCTAAGGGCTATGCACCTGTATTACTCAGTCTTATCACATGGGCAGCACCCTGAAGCAGCTCTCCATTATTTCTGGAGTCACACACTATTCCCCTCCATCCAGGGAGAGGCATGGGGAGCAGTGGGATGAGCATGGACTTTGGAGTCAGACAGCCTAGTTATATCAACACTCTGAACTTCAGTCTCTTCATCTGCCTTCATCTGGGCAATAATAGCATCCACATAAGACTATAGAGAATAAATGCTTGGGATTTTATGATAAAACAAGTGAGCATGTGGGGAGCGGTTAGCATATAGTAGGCTCTCAACAAGTGTTATTCCTCCTCTCTTTCCCCATCTATCCCAGGTGAATCTACGCCGCTTCCTTGATTCCATCTGGAGCCCTAAGTGCCTGTGCTCTGCAGCTGGCAGAAAGCCTGAGAAGCTTCTTAGGAAGTGTGCATTAGCTGCCTGGTGTTCACAGCACATTCACTAGTCTGATGCCTCTTGCCCTCTGCCTAGTTCCTAAATTTGGCTTAAGCCAAATTAAGCATGGGCTTTGGCATGTTATTGGACACCTTCCCTGGCCTTGGCTTCCTGCACGATAGCTCTTAGGCCGCCGCTGCCCCAGCACGCCCGTCTCCTCTCCCCCATAGCCCAACACCTTGGTGAGGAGAGACACAGAGCTGGTAGCTTCAGATGGGGCCAATCCTTGGCTGATCACCAGGGCCTGACTCCCTGCCAGGGCCTTTGTCTTGGGCACCAGGGAAAGTACAGGAAGGTAGAGGGACATGATACTTGCTTCTGGGAGAGTTTCCAAAGTAAAAGGGATGGTGAGCAGATGCACTAAAAAGCTAAACACAAGCATCAGTGGAAACAAATAAATGTTCCGGAGAAACAAACAGTCACATACACAGGAAAGTCCTGCCACTGACTGAGGCATCTGTGACTTCTGTCGTCCCCATCAGAGGAGGTCTCGTTAAGGGCAGGGGCTGTGTCTTATCCATCAGTCTGGGACTCTGGAGGCAGAGGGTTCACTCTTCTCCATCACACCAGGGCTCCCAAGGACAGGGCCATGTCTCCTGCCGCAGACTGGGGCCCTTGGAGTCAGGGCTGTCTCTTCCACATCTAGTCCAGGGGCCCCTGAGGTCAGGGGCTGTGTCACCCCATCACACCATGAATTAGAGCCCAGGGCTGTTCATCTCCTTCACAGCTGGGAATATTTCCTGGTAACACTGTGTGGGCTAAGTCATCCAATTTACACCCACAGTGCATGTGGCAACTGGGAGCATCCCCAGGGTGGGCATTCCCATGAAACCTCCAGCCTGAGGCTCTGTTGCAGGGATGGTGGTAATTAGAGGTGATTATAATTGCTGTGCATTATTAATAACACACGAAACGGAAGACAAATGTAATAATGAAATGTTGTGAGGTGTCATGAACACACAGTAATTGGAATAATGAGATCAATGAGGCAAGAGCTTAAGGAGTGTGTGCATCTGTGGTCCCGGATAATCCCATTCAAGAAAAATTTCCCCCAGAACTACTTAGCTGAGGATGTTTTCCCAGAGAAGGAAACAGCTGCTGGTGGCCAGACAGACACTGAACCTACATGGGGGAACGTGTAGGTCTGAATGTATGTCTGGGTCAGGGTGGGTGGAGGCTCTGGGGGATGGTTACGGGAGAACAGAAAAACTTTGGGATGATTTAACTGGTCAAAATGGAATTCTGCATCTATTTGTCTTAGTGTGTGCCCTCTGAGACTGTAAAAGGTTATTGGTTATTGACAAGTAACAATAAAAAGGTTACTAGCAAAATGGTGATAATTATATGGCACCCCACTCGTTCATGTAAATCATGTCATCTAATCTGGAATGAAGCCTGTGAGTTGCCTATTGCTATCTGTTTTATAAGTGAGGAAGCTGGGGCCGAGGGCATTTGGTGGCCTGCCCAAGATCTAACAGCTGGTAAGTGGCTGAGCAGAGACCTGACCTTGACCCTGTGTGACTGCGCAGCCCCAGCTGGGTCCATCTCACCAGCCTGTTTACAACTGTCCTCCGCTGAGCCCCGGGTTCCACAGAGATGTCTCCAGCTGGGCTGACCTCATGACCCCTGTTTCAGTCAGTGCAGTAGTGCATCTAGCTCTCCGGCATATTGGGGTTTTATGCAAGTTTTCACTGTAAGCCCAAGTTCCATGCTAACAGCAAGCACTAACCCAGACTGTGTTCTGTCTGGCCCTATGCTGAGAGTCCTGAGTGAGCAGAGCCATTAACCTTATAAATGAGGGCCAGCCAGCAATTGTCTCCATTCCCTGGGATATCACCCTACCTCCTCCCACCCATGGGGCCCAGAGCTCCGGAGAGCCTTCTTCAGAGCCTGGTAAGGAGGTTAGGCCTCCCATCCAAGGCCCCACCCAAGGCAAGTGTGTGCTAAGGCAGTCTCCCCAAACCCAGGCCTCTTAGCCTCTTGGCCCACGTGTTTCACTACCTCATAGCAATCGACTAAACTTTGGCCCACCCCATTAGTGAAGCAAAATGAAAGCACGTGACCACCTACCAACACACCTTGGCAGAGGCGAACTCCACAGGCGCCGTCTGCCCCCCAGGCACGTGATGCGGGCTGTGCCCTCCAGACGGTACCCGGGGAAGCAGGAGAAGGTCAAGGTGTCGCCTACGCCAAACTGTAGGCCCTTCCGGATGCTGTAGGCTGGGACCTCAGGCTCCTCGCAGGGCTCCAAGTCATATTCTGGAAAAGGAGCAGGAGAGCTGGGGTCAGAGGCAGAATATGGAAACATACACACAAAAACACCAGGGAGAAGAGGGCCAGAGATAAAGACAGAGAGAGGTCAGAATACATACACACTGACCCACAAAAGGTAAAAAGAAAAGAAGAATGATCCTAAGAGGAACAGAGGCAGAGAGACATACAGTGAGGTGAGCAGCACCATGTTTCGGGAAGTGGGGACACCTCACCACTGCAAGCAGAGAGAGGACACGGTGTTTCTGGAAGCACGCTTCCTGAGGGTATTTATGAGGCTCCTCATGACTTGACCTTTCCCTCCTCTGTCCCTTCATCCCCATATTAACCCTAAGCCTCTGGGCTCGAAGAGTCTCCTGCCTCTCTCTCCCTAGGCATTGACCCAGATAAATTCAATCAGCTTGGTTCTAGAGGGTCAGAACGTATGACCCAGCCGAGGGCAACTTACATCGGGAGAAAGAATCCAAATGCTTCACTCAAACTATGTCTCTGCAATGCTGGCGCTTGAGGCAGATGGCAAGCATGATGGGATGGCATTTATCAGCCAGGGATCTGCCCGATTCCTCTAGTGACAGCACAGAAATGACAATTTCCATTGTCCCCAAGGGTATCTCCCTTCTGGGACACAGTGCCCCAGGGCTCTATGTGGTAAAGAGAAGGAGGGTCCCTCAGATGGGATGAGGCACAGTGGCTGGAGATGTCCCACAGGCCAGGCCTGCCCAGGCCCATGGCAGGTGGCTTCTGTTGGAGGGACAACGTGGGGTTGAGCAGGGCCATGTCCCAGTTCCTAGAGGCCAGATATCTCTTGCCCATCCTGGAGGGAATCAGAGTGACGAGAAGGGGGGCTCTGGGAAGCAATGGGACAAGAGTGGTGGGGGTACTTAGGACCAGAGCAGTGAAGGGGCCATTTTCTTTCTGAATGCCAAATTAAAGAGCTTTCTTTTCAGGATTCCTAAACACAGAGATAAATATCTATTATTACTAAATTAGTGTTGCTGAAGAAGTCCCCACATGAGACTCAAATACTCCAATATGTTCATTTCAAATACCCTTACTCTTTTTTTTTTTTTAATTGCTGGGGTCATGAAACAGTGGAAGTGAAATCAGCAGAAGAATCTGGAATTACTAGGGCAGGCGGGAATGTCCTAATCCAACCAGTTGGGTAGGTGATTTTCAGAGTGGATCTTAAACACCTTCAGGGAAGAAGATTCCCCCAAAACCTGCTTCCTAGCCCATTATGGGGAGGTCCCCCTGAGTCTAACCCAACTACCTTTTGCTGCAGTGGTGAGGTCATTCTCCCAGGGACTGGAAAGTGGATCAATATCCATTTGCTGGGAAGACCAGAGGCTGGCAGCAGAGGGAGAGGCAGAATGTTCTGCCATCTCTTCCCCGCCAAGGGACCCCGACATGCTTTACCTGCGAAAGTGATGTTGAATCCTTCGTAGGACATGGAGAAATCAGAAATGAAGCGGACCTGGGCAGTGAAGTTGCCATAGAGTCCGGCGCTGATGGGGGCTGGCAACCGCGAGCCGGTCAGCTGTCTCAGGGGCTGCGAGAAGCTGCCGTTCTCGGTGATGAGGAGGTAGTCGTGGCCGCTCTCCAGGTGGAAGGTGTGGAATGTAAAGAACACACCTGCCAAGAGACCGGAAGGGTCCAGGTGACAAACGGACGGCTGCAGCAGCCCCCCTGCGAGACGGGGTCAGCACAAACATTTCTGACTTGTGGATGTCTATCAGTGGGTAGGGGTGTGAGCATGCACTGATAGATACATACAGGTGAACCGGAATGAACGGGCCCGAATGATCCGGAACATGCCATTTACCCACAGGTCAGGGAGAAGGAGACCGCTTTATGGTTGTCAAATTTGAAAGATTTATGGCTAGGCCCGTGAGAATGCTGCATAGCCTTTCATTCATTCACGGGTTCACTCATTCATTTCTCAATAAGTGTTTGTGTATTTGCTGAGTGCTTCCTCCGGGCTAGGATCCAGGGCCAGGGAGGAGCAAGGGGATATAGGAGATAGTCAACGAACAGCTAGAGTACAGAGTGACAAATGCTCTATCGAATGTAGTTCAGAGTGTGCCGGGGGCAGAATAGCAAGCCCTAAACAAAAGCAATAATATTCACTAACATTTCAGCACTAACTATCTGTGTGTCACTAAGCTATGTGTTTTCGTTGCCCTGTAGTTGGCCCCTCTCAACTGGAAGAGAAGATCTGAAAAGCCAGTTAATCCCACCAATAACTCTATGACATGGGTATGACTACCCCTCATCTCCATTTACACCTGAGTAAACTGAGGCATAAAGAGATAAAGTCACTTGTCCAGGGTCACCCAGCTAGCAGGTGGCAGAGCTGGGATCTGGGGGCAGTCTGATTGCAGGGCTGCGTAATCAACTGCTCCACATGACACTGGTTCTCATGCTATGGAGAGAGAACAGGCAGTAGGAATGGCCAGGCGGCGAGACGGGTCAGACAGTGAGAAAGATGGGGTGGCAGGATCTCAACACAAAGCGGCTCCTGGACTTGTCCACATGGCAGTCATGTTTAGGTGGGCGTATGTGTAAATGCACGCCCACCCACACGTCAGCGTGCCCACGGGAATATTTGCCGTGGACATGCTAAGGGCAGGTGCTTGGCTAGACTAGGGGGGCTGGATCCATTTGCTATTCAAAGTCCATGGACCAGCAGCTTGCGCCTTGCCTGTGAGCTTGTTAGAAATGCAGAATCTCAGCCTCTCTCACAGACCTTCCAAATCAGAATCTGCATGCTAACAAGATCCCCAAGAGATCTGTAGGCACATGAAAGTTTGAGGAATACTTCTCTAGATAATTACTGACAAGTTTTTGATAAATGATGGTTGGATCCAAGCTTTCAATGCTAAAATATTGTAGATGTGTTCATCATCTTGCTTCTCTGTTGGTAGGAGCTGGTGATCCCAGAGTATCTGGGATTCTATGGGTGGGGGTAGGGGAAACAAAACCCCATAGAGATGGTAGAACCAGGCATGCAGCTTGTAAATGTGCCTGGGCAACTGAGATGCAGCTATTGATCTATTTCCTCAAGGGAACAGATCCTAAGCACCTACTAAGTGCCAGGCCTGGGCTAAGCAGTGAGAAAGATCTCCCAGTTTAGTGGAGGAGACAGACACATCCATGGTGAGAGTCCAGAATGGGGGCATAGAAGAAGAGTGCCAACTATGCCCGGAGGGTTGGGAAGACTTCACGGGGTCACAGTCTTTGACAGGAGGGGTGTGAACATTTTAGGGATGCACAGGTATGTGTGCCCACATGTATCCTGTCCTCCCAACACATAAACACCAGTGCACACGAGAAACCGTTCTTAGTCTACAGGGCTTGGGAAAAGGCTCGGTGGAATATACGTCTTTTCCCTCCTGGCTAGAGCGCGGGTTGAGTGGAGAGTGGATCAGACACAGGACGGGAAATTGGAGTTGATGAAGCACTAAGCCTCGCACTCTATTCTTTAGCGTGCAAACACAGCCCCTCCATACAAGTAAACATTTGGCTGGCATTCTAAGGATGAGTAAACAACTGAGATGAAGCCCTGGGGTTTCCCAGCTGTGCTGATTGCTTGGGGCTCTTTTGGCCGTTGTGAGAAAATGAAGACATTGTCACAGAGATAGAGAGGCCCCACGTTGGAGTTTGAATCCAGATTTGGTGTGACAGATGCACACACAAACCAATACGTCACTGGAGTGACCATGCCGAATCCTATGAAGGATGTGGATACCACGCCAAGCAGATATGCAGAGCTGTGGAAAAGGCATGGGCTTTGGTGGGGGGGGGGGGCGGGCACAGACCTGGGTCAACAGCCCATCTACGAGCTGAAGGGTCTGAGCCGAAGTTGCTCAATGTGTCCTGAGTTCTAGTTTCCTCCACTATATCATGGGGATGATCACCTCTCCTCATAGATAGCATTTAATTCTTGGAGCAAGGAACAATTAGGATAGCAGATGCAGAGCCCACAGCATGGTGTCTGGCACACAGTAGGTATTCTTTTTGCTCAGCTTGTCTAACTCCCAGGCAGCCTTATGGGTTGAAAAAATGTCAGTTCTGGGGTCTCAACAAGGGCACATTCTTTGGACTCCTGAATTGGCCATTCCCTTTGGCTGGGAATTTGAACAATTCTGAATTTCACAGAGTTCTGAGTTTCCCCAGCTGTTCCTCTGCCTGCTGGAGATCAATCACAGTCGGTAGCCTAATGGATCTGTTAACGTGAGATACTCTTACAGGCATTGCCCTCTAGAGAAGGGTCTGGGTTCAGTTTAATTCAATTCATATAAATATTTCTTGAGTTCCTTATGTGCCAGACATAGAGCCAGCACCTGGGGAAGCTGCAGGAAACAGGCAGGCATGTCTCTCAAAGAGCTTAGAGTCTGTGTGGGGGGAGCAGGAAGGCGCAGGATCATGTGGGAGCCCAAGGAGGGGAACCCAACTCATACCCAGGACTGGGGAGAAGGGGTCATGAAGGTTCATTAGAGCAAGTGAGTTCAGAAGATGAAGGGCTGGCCACACAAGAGGGAGGGTAGAGAGGGTACAGGGGGAGAAAGTGTTCAGAGAGAATAGCATCCCAATGCACAAAGCTCTAGAGGACAATGAAAGCCTGGGAAGTTCTAAGAACTGAGAGAGCTTCAACGTAGCTAGGACTTAGTGTTTACAGGGCTCAGAAGGAGGCTGAGAAAGGTGAGCAAGGGCGATAGGCTCATGCCAGCTATTTTACAATTTCGAGCTCTATGCCTTATAAGGGTCTGGTGAAGACTTTAAGTGGTTCTAAGGAAGAAGTGACCTGGTCATACATCAGTGACCCCGTGTAGATTCTCTGCCTGGAACACCTCTTGTCCTGGCTAATTCTTGCTCATCCCTGAAGACTGGCCTAAGTTTCAACTTCAGGACACCTACCTAACCAAGCCCTCAGCTGGCCTCCGGATGTTTGCCACCTCTATCTGCTCTTGGCCATGGTACATGAGATGGTCTATCTCTACCACTGGACTATAAACTTCCTGAAGGCAGGCAATGCCAGGGGGTCGTGCCACTGGGTTTTCCTAGCATCTAGGGTAAGTGCAAGTATAAAATAAGCGTTTGCTAAATATTTGAATTGCATCGACTTCTAGGCAAAGACACATACAGAAAGGCATAGAGAAACATACCCCCCTATGATTATAGATGCCAGATAGAAAGAAAATCATGACTATTGGGATTGTTCCTCTAAGGATCATGAGGGGCTGCCTTTCTTGCCCTCTTGATGCCATAGAGGAGCTTCTGGCTCCTGCAATGGCCAACTCTGGCCCAGACTTGCTGGAAACAGCTCTGCAGGATGAACAAGGATGCTGCCCCGATCCCTCCTCTCCTCTATAGGGAGAAGGGGACAACCGGGCCTCACCCTGGCTGTCTGGAGGGTCCTTTCTCCCCAAGAAGCTGCACGCCATCCTAATCCCAGTGAGGTCAGGCCTATTAGAGGCAAAAGTGAAAGCACTTAAGCACATGTGGGGAGACTTTAAGTGACTTTTCTTACAAATTTTCTTTTTTTACACAAATAGTATCATTTACATGTAATATATGTTTATTGCTCAAAATTAGAAAACAGTGAGAAAATAAAATAAGGTAAGATAAGAGAGTAGTAGCACTAACATCTTGGGGTATATTTTTCAGTTTCCTATGCACATATCCTTGTTTATTTTTTATAAACGGACTATGTTCTTTTGGCAAGCATCTCTTTTGACTTAACAATGTATTGCAACTACTCCTATAGGTCTTTAATTTTTTAATTTTTAAAAAATATTTTATTTATTTTAGAGAGAGAGAAAGAGAGAGAGGGAGAGGGGCAGTGGCA